CGGTCAAATTGACCAATCTACGTATAGAGTTAAGATAGAGAAAATAACAGAAAAAACAAAGATTTACTGAAAACAAACGTTTGAAATGTATTTAGGAGGTTTTAGAGATTATGCAAACGAAATTTGAGATTTTTGAGATGAGGAAAAGTATTTTTCATTTTAACATGAAAATTATTTTGCACATGGATTAGTAAAAAAAAAACCTCGATATATTCATAGACAGTTTTTAGTTTATTAAAAATAGTTCACTAAAAAAATCTGATTTTTTTGTATGTGAAAGACAATGTTTATTGAAATTCTGCTAAATTTTTTGAAGATATATATATATATACTATATTAAAAGTTACTGGTGTCAAAACTATCAACTTCAAATTAGTACAAAGTAGTGGTCAGTCAATTCAACTGAGCCCATGTAGAGAGAATTAATAGAATGGATTTCCTATACATTTAAGAGACAGTAACTTATTTCTTTTGCAGTTGGTAAACTTACCTTCTGTTTTTTGGTTTTTTAACATATGCACAACTCCAGAATTTTCCATCTGGAAAGTAAAAATTATAAAATATGGAGTAAAATGAAAACAAAACAAGTATTAGCCAAGTTACACAATTAAAATATATATCTTTTATGTTTTTACTTATCAAAAACAAATTAAAAATTTGTGAAAGGACAGAAGATTTCTGGAAACAGATTACCAAACAATGTTTTTCTTAGAGTTACACATTCATTCACATAATCAATATTTTTATAAATAAATTCTGAAAAAGGGTACCACTACTCAACATTAAAATAGTTTTAAGTTATAACACACACACACACCTCTACAATTGTTTTCATATGTTCTGTAATAAGCTCCTTTTCTACAACTTGAACTATTTTTTCTTCTGTAGATTCATCTAAATAATGCTTTGCACGTTCAGCTTCTTCATTGATGCGTTGTTCTACCTTCTTGATGTACACAGAAGCACTATTTTCAGCAAGAAACTCTTGACTTTCCATCTGACAACAAACAATAATTATTACTGCACAAATTGATTTCAAAATGATAGGTCATTTGCTATTTCGACTATTTTAAACAACTTAGAATACTACAATTTACTATTAGATAACAATCACAGACTGGAGAATGCAATTTCAGGATAACTAATGATCCTGATGACAATGCAATACTCTAACACTATAAATTTTTATTGAATACCTAAACCAAATTTCAAACTTATAATAGAAACAGGATCAGAAAAATGTTATAAAAGTAAGTCTTTCTTCAAACATGCTTTCACAACACCTGCTAGGATAAACTTCAGCTGAGAAAGGAAAAAAGCAGCATTTTCATAAAATACTTTTTTTAACTTTCAGAAGATACTGAATTAATTTTCATAAAAATTACTGAATTACATATATAGTTCTTCATAGTTATAATCACTTTTTACTAATTCCAGCAAATTTTTCAATGTACAAAATATCTTATTATGCATCTCAAAGGTACAAGTTCTCTATAATTCACTTTAAAAGTACTGAAATTTCCTTATTTTCACACAATTTTATGCTAGTGAAACATAAAATGTCATACTATAATTGTTTTTAATTGCAACAAAATCTATAAAGAAGTAACACAACTATATCACTAATGTAAATTAGAAGTAAGGCTGCATACATATGGAAAATATTGTACAATATATCCTCTTGATAAAATGCCTGTTCAAAAACTGCAGATAACTAACTGAAATAGATTGGATTTTCATCGGGTAATACATCTACTCGTCTTGAAGATTTTTGTTCAAAAGCTTTTTAAATTGTACTTAACATGTTTATTTCATAATTACTTTTAGTTTATATATATTGTTACTAAAAGAAGAAAGGTGTATATATATATATATATATATATAGTAAAAGTAATATGTGTCCTAAAAACAAAAGTTAAAAATATTCACACTACTATAAGACTATAAACAATGGCAAAGAGAAATTTTTGGTTTGGTTTGTTTGGAAATTTGTACAAAGCTACAGAAGGGCTATCTGCACTAGCCATCCCTAATTTAGCAGTGAAATACTAGAGGGAAGGCAGCTAGTCATCACCACCAACTGCCAACTTTTGGGTTACTCTTTTATGAACAAATAGTGGGATTGACCATCACATCATAAGACCCCCATGGCTGAAAGGGTGAGCATGTTTAATGAGATGGTGAATCAAACCCTCGACCAGCAGATTACCAGTCGAGCACCCTAACCACTTGGCCACGCCAGAGCTCAGAAATTTTTATAGTGAGATGAAGCTTAATGATTTTGTAGTTTACATTTAGTGTGTGTATTAAACTAAACTTACTCTGTAGAATTCAGCTGATTGTGCAAGAAAAGGTTTTTCAAAGTCTTCTTCATATATGCATCTTGAGTCAATACCCAGAACCATTAGCATTTGACATGCATTTTTAATTGCTAGCCTGAAAAGTAAGCAATTGAAAATTGTATTACTTAAGATTAAGTTTACAAAAAACAGTTTCTAGTTAAAATATGGTAAATTGAAACCCAGAAGTAAACATGTAGAAGATAAAAATATAAATCAAAATTAGGAATACAGTAGTTATGCAATTAAATTCTGTTACTTCTAAAACATAAAAAACAGCAATATAATTTTAAAAACTATATAATCATGAAATGTTTATTTTCATAATTATTTCAGATTTTTATGAATACTTCATATGATTTCATTTTTGTCATGGGTAATTTTATATGAAATGTGCTTCAATGGATTAAAATAAAAAGCTTCTTTCCTAAATACAATTAATACTTTGTCTCATACACAAAACAGAAATGTAAATTAAAATAATAAAAAATAAATTTACTTGAATACTCATTATGTTTTATAAGAGACATATATGAACTTCTGATTTTTTAAACTCCATAGATAGCTACGTATTGTTTAAAGTTGTAATGAAGTAATAAAAAAGCAATGCAGTAGTAACTACAGATATGTTACACACCATCATTAGACACCTAAAAAATATAATGCAATTTTATTCAATATTTAAAATGCTATTAATTCATAATGCCTTAAAAGGTTTTATTGATGACAATTATCTATAAAAATTATACAAGTTGTTTAGTGTATTTAATTAATCATAGAAATCAAAGAGTATAGTTGTTATCTTTCAAATACAGTTTTCTTTTTTGAAAAAAGATCCATGGAAAATAAAGCTAAATAAGTAATTAATACTAGTAGTAGAACATTAAAATTTAAAACAAAATAATGGAAAAAAAAATTACCTATCTACAACTTCTCCTCTTCTTTCTCTCATTACCATATCTAATAAAGTTTCCCTTAAATGGTCCCTAATGCATCCATAACGAACCACTTGATCACGGAAAATTATTAATCCCAAATTGTACACATTGTCTACATTATTTTGTTGCACATATACACGATCCTGAAAATATAAAAAAATATAATCAACAACACAAGACAAATAATAAATAATTCAAAGTATAATATAAGAAACAAGTGAATAGTGCAAAAAGCAATCTATAAATTGCAGATTTCTTAATGTTTGAAATCAGTAAATGCATACAAATACATCTAAAACTCAGTGAGTGTATATTTCCTATTTCAAATGCATCCTATCACTAGATGTTTCACAAAGACTGACAAACACAAAACAGATGGATGGTAAATGTATATAAATTACAAGGCAAGTCTCAATTAGCACTGGACCAAGAAGGAAATGTGAACTTGTTTAAAATGCACTGAGGAAGACTGATCAGTATACACATTCAGATTAATAATCTCCAATATTTCAAAAAAAGCCTATAAAAACATTTTTAATAACAAATACAAAACATTAATAAATCAATTTGAGTGAATTATGCCTTTTAAGCAATTCATGCAGTAATAGCTGGTTTGTCTTGTCTGCAATTAACATTCCTATCAATTGGCATAAAAAATTAGCATCACCAAATACTTTTAGATGTAAACTAAGCATTAATAATTTCAACTCCATTTTCTTGAGCATTACTTCAGCTTTCAATAATGTCATAACCTCACCAGTTAAAGCTGGATATTAAAATTAAATGATATAATTGAATACTTATGAACATCAATTGCATTGATTAGTGTCATTTAAAATAATCACCTAATTGAAATTAGTGTTTCTGATTATTATAATTATCATGTAATAGAAATGTTGGCATTATGATGTTGCATATTGTTACGACAGCAGAAGTCACACGACGCTGGGAGCATTCGCTCTAGAGTTTCTAGAAGGATCATGACTTATCGAGGAACCCTGCGAATGTCCGAATGTTTGCCAGGCGCCCTCTTTTTTAGTATATAAGCCCGGCAAATAAAGCCAGCAGTGTCAAGCGAAC